CTGAGAAAGCTTATTTCTCTCTGATGGACTGGTACAATGTCCGCATCAATCACTACTTGTTATTAATCTCTTCAATCTGTCATTGAAGAGAATGGCAACCTCAACATCGAAGTTTACCGGAAGCCCACACACACGGACCAGTACCTCCTCTTTGACTCCCATCACCCTCTGGAACATAAACGTGGAGTAATTAGGACCCTACACCAACGGGCAGAACATGTTCCCTCTAAGCCTGAAGGAAAAAAGAAGGAACACATGCATGTAAAGGAAGCACTCAAAACGACTGCACATGAACACAATGTAACGGTGCTGGTATGTAGGCCATCCCAATACCTTGCACTATTGTACTTACGTTACAGGATGACTCATCACTGACTGGTAAAACATCGGCCAATAGAAATGATTGTGAGCCACCCGTGTCCCTTAGTATTCTCACGGGCTTCTGATCCCCAGGAAACCCTGTTAAGGAGACAAAACCATCAAAAATGAAGGGTTTAAAACACTTATCAGGTTCACTCGTGGTCATATTAGAGGGGCAGTTTAGCGACTTGACTAGGCCAACCCCTTTAGCTTGTTTTAATTGCTGGGGCACTTGTTTACGTTTAAGAGCCAAACACTCAGAAACTATAAGCTGTACGTTCCCTTTCTTTGGCTTCAAGTTCAAGATGAGCCAAATGTACCTTTAAACGTGCACCAACACTGGAATTACTGGATTCGACAGAGAAGGGCTCAAACCGTGGAAGAGAGGCTGGGGGTTTTCCCCCACCTGGTTTGACCACAATAGGTGTCACTGTCCCCTCCTCAGCACAATCCTCAGGCTGATCAGAGGTTTCAAAGACCGACGCTGCATCCCTAGTGTCCGCGTCCAAAGGGAACACACCTTTCCCAACCAACCCACTGACCACAAGAGACTTTAACTCGCTCTTCTTCATGGTCTTAGCCACAGGGATTTCATAATGCGCGGCAACAGCACATAAATCCTCCTTCCTACATGCATCAAGCTGGTCTAATGCAGGCTTAGCTATAAAATCACCCAGGCTAAACTGTGCCATATTCAAAATTTATCCCGGACGAGCCCCCACTTACTTCAAATACAACGAAGGCTTCTACAGACAAAAACATGGCTGTGCCATGGGCTCCCC